AGCAGAGATGAAAAGATAGATAAAATTAACAAGATAAGAAGTTGAGAAATGAAAATATGAGTATTTATAATAACAGTGAAATATAAATTTTTTGAGTTTTATCATATATGAAACTTATCAACTGAATGTACTTGACATACTCCAGTTTTGATGCTCACATGGAAATTTGAAACCAAATACCGTGCCACTTTAAATGTCAACATGTTATCATCCAATTAATGACTGAGTCTGGACAACCACTGGCTTACTTTATTTAGTTAAACACATAAATATTGGTACAAGGAGGCATTAAACAGATATACACCACATAAATCATACGATTTGTGTGAGGGCTGGGATATTGCCTAGGTGCTAAAACCAAAGCAGATGGTTTAATTAAAATGCCACACCCTGAACCTTTGACCTAAAGGTCTAATCCACAATACAGTGGAGCATCGTGAGGAGATACAGTCCCATGGTAGCCGGTAACCAACGATTGCTTCCCCCCCCCCCATTCGTTCCTTCAGGATATTGGAGCCCATGTGTACTATCGGTCTAGAATCCAAGTTTTCCAACTCCTCTGGGTGGATCCTCTGTATCCACAATAAACCATTGGCTTACTTGACGGGTATGAATTTATTTGTAAGGATTTGTATTTTACTACTGTTCATATTGGTGATTGTAACTGATCTCCTTCTATAATGATATATATGCATTCTAAGCGGATAGTCTAGGAATTAGCATTCAATCACAAATATCAGTAAATTTTAATTTTGTCGGGATCATAGACAAAAATTATCAAATAATCAAAAGGTAAGCAATATACAACATAAATGTGAAGCGGTTTTAAAAGACCATAAGTAATTTCACTAAAACTCGTGAATTCAATATACCCCTCCCCATACATATATATATATATATACACACGCACACACGTTATCCCAGCAACAATGTTTTTTTTATAATTGAACTGCCAAATAAAAGTCAAACAGGAGACAATATTACAGTAAGAATGAAAAACAAAACTATTGGGAATGCATAGATTTATGTGAGAGTGTTGAGTCATATTCATTACTAAACGATTATTTTCCTGTATCTAAAAAAAAACCCCAGAGAGATAAATGTAGACAACGACAAAAATGTGAAAACTCAGACATAGATGACAAATGTACACACACATATATACACAGTAACTGGTAGACGCCTTAATTATGACGAGGTTCTATCACTAACGCAGACAACAACTTAATATTTTATGTCAACGAACGTGAATGACTAATTGAATAATAATAATAATAATAATAATATGTAAGGGGTAACAAACAGTGAAATCACTTCTATGTTTACAATCATTGAGTGTATTCAACATTTTTATAATGGGAGAGAGAGAGAGGGGGGAGAAATAGCAGAAAATACATTTTATTTTTCGAAGGAAATAGGTAATAATTACCAAGATGTATTTCATCTTCCATTTTATATATTGTACTGAACAGTAAACTTTTCAAAAAGGAGTGAATAGCTTTTCCTTTCTTTTTTTTTGAAAAAAGTAAGACATAAAGCATACTGTATCGTTAGTAATAAGACAAGATCAATATTTACCCGTTCCTATCGGATCGATGAAATATTCACTTTTTGTTAAAGATGCTAGAATATTCCACGAGAACCCTTATTGTAGTTTTATATCACATGTTGGCCTTAGGTAAAATGATCACCAAACATGAGAGAATACTGGCCCTGGAATTCCCTGGTACAGACGGGGAGTGAAGAGAGTTAGCTGTCCCTCTCGAAATGCTCTCACATGGCCACGCGTATATAGCCTCTGTTAGGGAAGTCCTACGGTGAGTCCACCTAGAGGAGTTGGAAAACTGGGATTCTATACCGATAGTGCACATGGGCTGGCTCCAGTATCCTGAAGGAACAAATGGTGGATGAACCAATTGTTGGTCACCGACTATCATGGGACTGCATCGCCTTACGTTGCTCCACTACCTTGTGGATAAGACCTTCAGGTTGAAGGCTCGGGGAGTGGCCACCTAAGAAAACCACCTGCTTCGGTCTGGGCACCCGGGCAGTAGCTCAGCCCTCACATATATTAAATGAGATTTGTGTGGCGTATATGTATTTGGTGCCTCCTTGTACCAATATCTGTGTTAAAATAAATAAATAAATAACTGGCCAGTTGATTTCTCTTAGTATATGACTCCTTAGTAGTGTACATATACGAAGCAATCAATTTATTTATTTAAAAACATAAACATTGGTAAAAGGAGGCATCAAATAGATATGCGCCACATAAACCATTCGATTTATGTGAGGGTTGGGATACTGCCCGGGTGCCCAAATCGAAACACGTAGTTTTCTGAGAAGGACACATCCGGAGCCTTCAACCTAAGGGTCTGATCCACAAGGCAGTGAAGCAACTTCAGGAGACGCGATCTCAAGGTAGCCGATCACCAATAATAGGGTTATACCCTATTTATTCCTTCAGGATACTAGAACCTATGTGCACCAATAATTTGGAATCAGAGTTTTCTAAATCCCCTAGGTGGATACTCCGTGTCCAACAATCCGATTAAGGCGTCGGATATTCGATTTTCGTCCTGTCAATTTCGTGAACAACACCTTCGCCGTGAGAATGCAGTTAGTAGGACTTCCCTGACAGTGGCTGTATCCACATGATCATGTGATAGCATTTCGAGAGGGATAGTTGACTCTCCCTACTCTCGGCCTTACTAGGTCATTCTGGGGCCAAAGCTATAGACTTACTATCCCATAATTGATTATCTTTTAAATCAATCAATTAGACTCATTAACATTAAACATAATTCTCAATTACAAAATAGATAAAGTGATTAACTAATTAATTTCTTTTTATATTCTATAAGATCATTTGATATAAGATATAGATAATTTACTTAGAAATACATTACTAAAGTACTTCTTAAATTTGACTAATGTCCTTAGAAATTTTGATTAACAATTAAAGAATAGTTTATTTGAAGAAAACAATAGAAAAGAGAAAGAGGGAAATCAATAAAGTTTTGGACGAGGACAAATTTACTATTAACATCAACAACCACAACAACAAGAAACAATGAAGAAGTGATTATGAATCGAATTTATGAATATTAAATAGAATTTGTTAGAATACTGTTTATAAGCCTGTGTTTTGCTATGGATAATGACAATTTAGTAATGTTAATAGTTGAAATCACGAGTCCATTGAAACTAGACCAAAATAGAAAACCTGGAAGCACTGGATAGCCGTTTCGTCCTAATATGGGACTCCTCAGCAATGCGCATCCATGATCCCGCCCCCCGCGAGATTCTAACCTAGGGCCTATCAGTCTCGCGCGCAAGCGCCTAACCATCTCCACAAAATCCCTACTGATAATTTAGTAATGCACAAAGTAGCTGTTTCATGAGAGAGACACAGAGAGAGAGAGAGAGAGTGGAAACAACTGGATACATTTGAGTTGGAATCGATAGTTCAATAATTTCTAAAATAATCACAAATCATAATTTTACATTATAGACTAGACTGGAAAAAATGTAACATTAAAAAGCTTTTAATAATTGGAAAACAAGCACTTTCTTGTTTATTCTAATTTCCATATCGAAAAACCAAGCAATAGTATTTCACAATTACATCAGTGATAGTAAATCAGTTGATGAGGTTGTGGATTCACATTGACTGAGATGGTTGGGCCACGTGTTACGTATGCCTGAACACCGATTACCAAGACGCGCAAGTTACTGGCGGTGAAACCAAAACGTGACATTAGTCCATAAAGTCATTAACTTCTAGTCTGAGCCATGTTGGGAGATGCAGACTACTTGGTTGGGGTCCACGTGACTATCGTAACCAATGGTTGGGCACTGTAGGTGATGTGACTCAGAATCGATCATAATGGTGTAGGTGTATACACTCTCTGTCTCCCCTCAAACTGTGAGATTAAAATTACTTTATACCTTTCTTTCTACGAACTAATTCTTTCTCCCTGTATTAGACAGACTGGCTGAAATTAACATAGAGGACCAATAAATCAATGAATGCCAGAAAACAGCATCGTGTAATTATTTCATTCCAGTTCCAGACAGTTTCACAGTTTATCACGCCTACAATTCCATACAAAAGTATGCCGAAAATTTATGAAGCGGCACAAACTTAATCCAATATTACTATTTGTGATTTATTGTCTCACAACTCTTGATTAACCTTAAAGAACATACGTATTCATGTCATTGAAACTTTGAGGAAACTCATCTTGAAGTAAGTTAATCAAAAGTGAGTAAAATAATGACTTCATTGGATTAAGCTATTTGGCATCTAACCTCCAATGATCACAGTTTCAAACTTCAATTCATCCGCTTTAATTTACCTAGTCCTATGATATCATTAAGACAAATACAAACAGCATGGATCAGAGTTACATAGAAAAACGCCTATTAGGTAAATGAGTTTTAATGAGAATATAATAAGTAGTAATAGAATGTTATGAGGTTATTCTTAAAGATTTTTGTGTAATTCGTAACAGTCATAGTTTATTCACTAATCATACTACAATCTTTAATTAATAAACTTAGACATTTAGACAGATTCTAAATCATACCACTTAACATTTCAGAAAATTGGTTACAATAATCACATAGATTCTAATCAGATAACCTGGGATCTACTAACATGACTAAGATCAACAGTCAATAATATCATGAACTAGGGGGGGGTCACGTTTTTGCTTGCCCATGCGTAGTTATCTTTCAACATATTCTTACATCAATAACCACTACGCGTTGTCAAGGTCAGTGATGATTGGGCATTCACAATACATGCATCAACTACTTCATTCCATAAAAATGCACAAACTCATCAACTGATTTACCATTTAAGCCTAATACTGCTACTTTATGCCCGATGTCAACATTGTTCTCTTTGATAAATCCAAACATAAGAGAGGAATATAACAAAAACCAGTAAGATTGTTTTTTATTGAAATAAAACATTGTAGTAATTAACTTACTATGGATTTTGTTTTCTCGGGACGTGTAGCAATTGGTGGTGGATGTACACCACTATTATTGACAATTATAGTATTATTAGTATTATTATTTAAAGGTAAAATTGTTCGTTGACAAGAAGGTGTACCAGCAAGTGATTCACGTCGTGGTGTAGGTACCGGAGTTGCAGATCCTGCTGGAGAAGGGGATGACTGACCTGAAGAACAATATTGAATAGTTGCATTGTTAGAAATGTCAGGAGGTGATAGAATGCCATCAGCAAATCGTCTTGGTAGACCAGGTGATAAAGGGGGTGGTGGATTATTTAAATGTGAATGAATTTGTGGACGCCAGGGAGTTTTTTGATTTGTTTGGTTGATAAAATCTAGATTGGATTGTTTAGAGGACAATGATGATGAAGATGGTTGCATCACATAAGGAGATGGATGAGGCGGCATAGAACGATTATTGATGCTCGTGACAGTGCTTAAATTAGTAGAGGAGCCCATAGTTACTGATCTTATTTCATGATCTGAATGGATCTAAATGAAATCAAAAGAAGAAACAAAAATCAACTCGTTCTGATCAGATCGAATTAGATAATTTTTAAAATAAAAAAATCCATTTTTATTAACTTCTAACAATACGATTTTAGTTCTGTAGCGACAAAATATCTCAAACAACGCCTGTTAGAACAAAAATCGATGCTACTCAATCATTTGATGATGATACGCTGCAAAATTTTAACGGTGGTAATCAGAGTTAAGTTTCATGATGAATGTTACAAGTAATAATCAAAAACAGTGCTTATAAGTTATTGAAGTTTTTATGGTAGTATTCACAGTAGATACATACTGAAAGGATGTTTTTGATATGACATCAGTTTTGAGCAATACTACAGCTACTGTTTACATCTAAAATATCCTAGAGGTAAAGGTTAACAATCCCTTACAGACTGTATTTTAGTCTTACAAAACGAACTCTCACTTCTCCGTGGCATTTTTTCATGGACCTATGGATCGAATCCCGTATACCTATCCTTGTTTTCCGATAATTTGTCTTTTTATATCAAAAAACCGTGGCCAGTTAATCCCAACATTGTGGGGCGTCAGACAATTATCTATCTGAAGCAATAAATGCAGATTGTGCGATATTGTGTACTTATTGCTGTTGGATACTAACACCGTTGGATTCCGAACCAGTGGTCTAGAGGTTAAGTGTTCGCGCGCGAAACTGAGGGTTTTGGGTTTAGTTTCCGGATGAGGGGTCGTGGATGCGCACTACTGAGTCCCATGCTAATGGTGGTCTAAATGAGATCAGTTCGTGGCATAAACTATGAAAACTCTACAATCTCCACAAGTCCTTCTATATTAACCATCTTTTAACGCCATTTGTTAATGTTCAAGGCCAACTAACAACTACATATACAGGTTTGCTGCTTTTTCTTGGGGCAGATAAAGTGGTTATATAGGCAGTTTTAGTCGAAGCTGCTTAATCGGTTCATTTACTTTCAATTTCGTCATCAATGATATTCTGAAAACAGCTGTGAAGAAAGTACATGACGACATAGAACGGTAAACTGGAGAGACAATTTTCAAAGTTGAGCATTCGTATGATATTACCTAAATGTAGCATAACACACAAATTAATTCAATTACACTTCATTAGTTGGAAACGACTGTTGAAATGTCTAGAATCCGAGTATATGAGTGGCTGACCCCACAATGATGATGGTACCATGGGAAATAATATCGGTTTACGAGTAATAAAAACTAAAACGTTTATACCAATATGGAACATTTTCAGCAACATTTAGATATTAGTTTGTTTGTAAACGGTTGGATGAATGAAGCCATCATGATAGCAGTTCTACTCTATATTTGTAAAAACTGGTTACTATGTGCTCTATCATCAATGGTAACACGATATAAGTAATGTAGGAATCTAGCAATATATATGTTCAGACATAGAGATGCTAATCCAATCACTGTATAACTCGTGCTCTCAAAATGTTGACACAGAAGATTCCACACCATGCATTATTCGCCAACTTTGCAGCTGGAGGAGAAAACTGTAGAGATAGTTAGTTAATGACAAGATGCCATGAAACAATAGACAGTTAGTTGCATTGAATTGGCACTTATGGGTCTATTATGACATCACCTGATGAAATTTTAAGAAACATACAACTCAGGATAATATCATAATAAAAACTAGTGATAACTTTATAAGTAAAGATGGATAGTGGCTAGCAGTCGAAACCAGGACGCGCATGTCGTCGTATTTAGGAATCCTCAACTGGATTTACCTACATCTCACAGTTGATATTCACTCTGGGACTCGAATCCAGTACCGACTGCTTCAAACGCCATCATGTTATCCATTTAACTACTGAGTCCTGATTAGCCACTTCCTTGTGCAATGGGGTGAAGTTTAAATCCACTTGCCATCAGGAATCAGTATCTAAGTGGATAACGTGATAGCGTTTAAAGCGAACGGTACCGGGTTCGAGTCCCAGAGTGAACATAAACTCTGAGATGCATGTACATCCACCTGACGAGTCCTAAATAAGACGAAACGCGCGTCAAACTGGATTCGAATGCTAACCACTATCCACCTTTGCCTATAATACTTGTGAATTAAGGCAATATCGAGGCAATCTGTACAGGATGCACATATGCCAATAGGAGACTGACTGATCAATTGCAGTTCTAAATATCAATGGGAAGATTCAAGTGAAATTTAGTGATAACGTTGTTTTAGACTTTATAATTAAATTGTCCATAAAGACAAGAAAAAATCCACCATTTTAACTGAATGAAATATGCCTTAGTTGTGGATTATAATCGAATTGTCTTTTAAAATAAGAAATATTCTTATTTAGTTACTAACTATACGATTTTCTCTATTACCTTTTCACAATATTACAATTTCACGTTATGTGATACGACTTCCCTGTCGTTTAAAAATATCCTAAGGTGTTAATTAGAGAGAAATAGGTCACCATGGTGGGGGGGAAGGGATGACATGACATTAATTTAAGTTGTTTAAAAGAACAATCGTGAATATTTTGCGGTTAAAAAAAACTCCGGATAAGTTGTTCTGTTCGTTTGTTTTCTTTAATTTGGTTGAAAAAAAAAGACGTTTATACATATTCTTCATCTCTTTGTAAGTCTTATTCCAAATCATTTCTATATCATATCGAATTTGAACTCCATCCTCATAGCGTTGCAATAGCTACAATTGTTTTCAATGCTTTTACTTTCGTCCTCTCTTTCCTTTCTTCATTTCTCTCCCTTTCGAATCCCACATTGTTTATCCTATATTATATTATTTATAACTTTCTTTTGTACCTACATGTACGAAAAATTCAGTGTGGTAATTTACCCTGGTTAAATAACTGTCTACTTAAATGTTATAAGTTAATTTATTTAGATAACTTATTTATCCACAAATAAAGATAGTACATTATTCAATATCATGAATTTTATTTATTTAAACACATCCCAACCGTAGCTGATACCCCCGACCTCAACCCGACTGTATTTGCTACCTTGACGCGGTGGTTGGGTTTGCCTATCGTGATGACCTAACCGAACTATATTGGCTGGAATATATGTTCCTTTAGGCAGGTCGATTGGAAAACGGTAAGACTAAAAGCAGCAACTCAAGGTCTGAGGGCGAAGTCGTATTGCTGACTGTAGAGGGGTGTGACAGCAGTAAGGTGATCGATAGCATTCGATCTGCACTAATAAGGACTAGACACGCATCACATTGATCGCCACCCAGTGATCAATCAATTGTGATTACATCTCAGTCCTACAGGAGGTTAGTCACGGCTCGGATAGCTCAGTGGTAACGTCTCTGACTGTGAAGCTGGGTGACACGAGATCGAATCCGCCAGGGAGCACCAGTTCCCTCAAGATTACAGGTACACCTTGCTGACGAGTGCCAAGTAGCACGAAACCCGGGTCCAGGGTTTCCTGTTGACTACCTCCAACCACCATCTAAATCTCAATACATAGTGCCCGCAGTGTCGAGTCACCTAGACTGGTGACCACATTGCAACATGATCGATAGCATTCGATCTGCACTAATAATCAATCAATTGTAAGGTGTTTCCCTCGGACAACCAGCATCTGCAGCGATGTTGCCTTCTCACAAGGAAGGAAGGGGTTAGAAAAGGTTGACCCTAAAAATGTTAAACCACACCTTTCCTCACGGGTTTCCGTCTCCGACGGTAAGGCCCTTTGAAGAACGGAGCTAACACATTGAAAACCTCCCACGAAAAGGCCGTGCGCGACCGGCCTCAAGCAGTTGTCCCTTGAGCTCTGCGGTCACGCTCGCAAGTCGTTTAAACCAACACTAATCCGATTTCCTTTTCAGGTTCCTCAAGAAATACCCTTCCACGGTGTGGGCAGCCGGGAAGTGATATCAGTCCATATACCCATAACAGCACATGAGGCCAAGTTGGTCACATTCAAATCCTTCCTACACCTCCTAGTAACTCTTTTATCTCCACGACTAACCCTTCTCACGTCCCTTTAAAAAGTAATATCAACATCGACTGGAATCTTTCTGAAGAGACAACATGTTACCTAGATTTCTGCTGTTACATGTTATTTGTTTCTTTAAAGTATAAACTTGATGACATTTTCCTGATTTATATTTTCGTAATAACCTCTGGTGTCATTGGATCGGTTACTATCGCTTTTAGTTTGTTAGCCTTGTCATATAACGCCAAGATCATTGGATGTTACGTTATAAATAAAGTTGCTCCATTTCAATTCCCGACATTTGTATGGAACTTAAAGTTACTCTGAAAGTACTATCATCTCTATCAGCGTGTGAATTATTAACATATTGTTCTATTCTGATCTATTCGAGTTCTTACAAATTCTATCGTATTGGAAGAATCTTCAATCATTCACAAATAGAACTTACCATAGGCCAACTGCTATTAAGTATTAAAATAGAGGTGGAGTTTCACACTACAAAAAAAGAAATAAGCCAATATGGTTTTTCCTTTTAAAAAAAATGAGAAAAACCCACTCCACAAACTATACAAATTTCCAGTGAATGAACAACTTACCCCGGGTTCAGTAGCCCCTCTATGAGATACCATATTAGAATGATGATGTTGATAAGAACCAGGTGTGCAAGTAGTGTTTCCAACGACGCATGTATGATTATGAAGCGCTGGGGCTAATGGAGGTAAGGTAAGTGAAGATTGATGAATTGCTTGGGAATCAGATATCGAATTAAGAAGAGTTGTGTTAGCTGCGTTATCCATAGATGGATTAGATATTGCAGAATAATTTAACGCTTGACCTGAAGGACTAAATGATAATTTATGCGGAAGAAGCGGTGCAGGTATAAGTTCAACTCCATTGATGACGGCTGGTGGTGCTGGCCCACTTCCTGTACTTGAAGAATAACTACTACCTGAACTACTGTAACTACTTGACGGAGGAATAGCTACATTGGAACTACCAGAAGGACTAAGAACCATTCCAGACATTTGGATACCACTGGAACCACCAACACCTCCATGACCGCTACTACTACTTCGACTAACAGCACCACCACTACCACTTCCACTTCGACTTCCAATACCTTCACTACTGCCACGACCACTGCTTAAACTGCTACTTCTTGGTCCGACATCAACTGAACATGATATTCTAGTTAATGAGGTAACACGTTCTGTATCCGGTGTACAACATTTGGTACAATTTGATGCTGGTAATGAAAGTGCTTGACTAATATTTGAATCGTTTGAAGTGTTAATTTGATCAGTTGAAGACAGATCCAATGCTAAAATGTTTAATTGATTGCACAAGAAAAAAAAACAATTTTAATTAGTCGAGTGATTCGTAAAAACAACTGTAATAAAATCCAGTATTTAAGAACAGAACTACACTTAAACTTGTGATCAAACATACAATGGGAAATCTGGAAGATTTATAACTAATTAATGGTTGATAGATACATACATCCTTCAAAGTTTAAATATTGAAAGGGATTCTTAATCGAACTGTACATTGCATTGAGCATATAACGTACACTCAGTGTTCATTTTATTTCCTTAAACACTTAAACATTGGTAAAAGGAGGTATCAAATATATATGAGGCACATAAATCATTCGATTGGTGTGAGGGCTGGGATACTTTCTGTGTGCCCAGAACGAAGCAGGTGGTTTTCTTAACGGGCCACACCTGGAGCCTTCGACCTAAAGGTCCAATTCAAAAGGCAGTACAGCAACGTAAGGAGATGTCGTCCCATGGTAACCGGTCGCCAACGAGAGACTCATAGGCCATTTATTCCCTCAGGATTCTGGAGCCCATGTGAACCATTGATTTGGAATGAGGGTTTTCCAACTCCCCTACGTGAATTCTTCATATCCACCGACCCAGCTAAAGCGTCGGACGTCCGATTTTCGTCCTCTCAATTGTGTAAACAGTAATGCGGCGAGAAGACAGTGAGTAGGATTTGAGTGACAGTGGTTGTATGCACATGATCGTGGAGAGCTGATTCTCTCCACTCTAGGCATTTGGGGGGGGGGAGAATTCAAATCCAATTATTAGATACAGAAAAAATAAGAATGTGACAATACTTTAATGATACCACAATAATGACTATTTCCACAAGAAAGCTTTTATTATATTGAGAGAAAGAACAATCCATTTGAATAACATTAATAAAAAAATTAGTGATCACTAAGCAGCTTTTTTATTCGTTCCACTTAGGAATTATTACTTAACAAGCGAGCACTCTCAATCTGACAAAGGATAAGATTTAGATTATTTAAGCTAACACTGACTTGTAAGTCGTCTTGATTTGTTTAATGATCTTCACAAATGGATATAAATATTACTGTATATTAAAGTAAAGATGGGTGAAGATCTAGTTGGAAATAATATTGTTCATTTATATTGTTGTGTATGCTACTTATATATAGACAGATGTAAGTAGTATGTAGCAGCAGTCAGCAGTGCAATGTTTGTCAAAAGAAGGTTGAAATAAAGAAAACAAAAAGGAATCGGAATAAAAACAGAATTGAAAGAATCAAAAATAAAGGATAACTGTAAGGTGTACCACATGATGTAAGATTTTTACATTTCACTAAATCACTGTGTGATTGTGAGTTAAACAAAAAAATTGATCTTTCCTACCTAAGTTCTCGTTCACTTAAATGTGTTATTCTAATTTACACAATAAGAATTCTTAATATTTAAGGTTTGCACAGTATCACTGAATTTTACCAAGTTAGAACTCAACAATAATCATTGAAATTTAGTTAAATCAATAACAAATAGTCAGTGAGTAACTACGCAGAACTTCGAACGTACGTACATCAATTCAAGTTGCCATACCACATTAACACAGAGAAACAATTGTCGATTCAAATCTTGTAGTGGTAGAGGTAGTAAGAGTATAAGCAGTAATCGGAAACATTAGGGTTTGAAGATGTTATTCAAGGAGTGTAATCCAGTGAAATGAATTTCGAAAGAGAAAAAAAGGGACAAGGAGAATCCAGGGGATTAGAATTTGAGAGAACATAAAAAGTGGACGCACCTGCGCGATTGCAAACGGTCGCAATCATCTCCAAAACGCATATAAAAACAAACAGTGTGATAAATTTATGATTAGTTAATCCCTTCTATATTGTATATAAAATATTAGGATAAAGAATGATTCTGTGATGTGTTATTTTCTGCTAAAAATCAGTTTACGAACTATTTAACTAGATAACATATACGGTTTTACTGTACATGGGGAGGAAACAGAGATCAACCTTAGTCATCTAAGAGGTGCGCTTCATTCTGTTTGGGACTCGTCAGATGGACATAACTACCACATTCTAATATGAATGGTTACACTCAAATTAGGACACAGTCAGTTAGCTACAATGTAGGACCAGGCACATATGTGCATCTGTCCAGGTTGCCATACCGCATTAGCACAGCAAGATGGACACCGGATTCGTAGTAGATAATTCAATAGTGGTAATATATAAAAGAAAGATTGCATACAAGAAGATAGTACAGGAAGGAAGAATTAGTTCGTAGAAAGAAAGATATGAAGCGATTTTAATCTCATAGTTTAAGGGAAGACAGAGAGTGTATACACACCTACGCCATTATGATCGATTCTGAGTCATGTCACTCACAGTCTCCAATCATTGGTTACGAAAGTCATGTGGGCCCCAACCAAGTAGTTCGCATCTACCAACATGGTACAAACTAGAAGTTAGTGACTTCAAGTACTGATGTCACGTTTTGGTTTGGCCACCCCTAACTTTCTTTCAACCATTCCGAACACTAATCAGCATTGCAATTAGAACACAGTACATAACATTGCTTTAAACACCAACGTATCATCCAATAAACTACTGGGTACAGATAAGTTGATAACTTAGTCAACGGGCATAAAATTATTTGTAAGGGTTCGCATTTCCCCATTATTGATATTGAGTATAGAAAGTGATCAGTCCATTTTGACATATGTGTATATTAAGTGGATTGCCTCAATATTGACATTTAGTGATGAATTTATTAAAACTGAATTGTGGTTGATAGTAGAATTTAAGACGATCATTTCACGTTATTTGGGACTAGTTAACTAACTGTCTGGGCTGAGACTTAGTAGGATAACACGATGGCTCTTGAAGCAATACTAAGGTAATGGGTTCTAATCTCAAAGTGAACATCAACGGTAGAATGTAGTAGATACATTCAGCTGACAAGTCAGAAATAAGATGAAATGTGAATCCTAAACTTCATTGCTAAATACAGCCAAAATTTACTGAGTCTGGTGACTAAATGCCAATACTAAGACAATCCTCCCAAAATACGCGTATTTTGGGAGGAATCGACCAGTTGCTACAGTCCTGAATATGCAAGCTGGTTGTTTATTCCTATAAAATAAAAAAATAATCTGATCAATAGTGAACCGACACTGAATCTCATATCTAGAGAAAAGTGTTTATACAATCATGTAGTATTATCGCATCAACACAATTAACAGGACAGTGAGTTAAATTTAAAAATCCAATCGAAAATTTCTCAGCATGCAACCAAGTTTAATAGCTCATTTGGTGTTGTTTTACTTGTATTTTCCCATTTTGTTATTTAGGACTGCAATTGATCAGTCTCATGTTGGCATATATGCATCCTGTACGGACTGTCTTGATATAGCCTTAAGTAACAAGCTTTTTAAGCAAAGATGGATAGTGGCTAGCAGTGGAATTCAATTTGACACGCGTTCCGTCCTATTTAGGACTCGTCAGCTGGATGTACATGCATCTCAGAGTTGATGTTCACTTCGAATTTCTATATATCAATCACCAAATTGAGAAAATGAATTTATTTTCAAACAACACAAGAAAGTAGTCGAGTCTCAAGTTCATGATAACATATATATGTACAGTGTGTAGTATACTAACGTACATATGATCAAGGTCAAATAATGTACATGATTACGGGTAATCGCTCTCTCTCTCTCTCTCTCCTTTTATAGTTTAATTACGAACATGCACACATACACATACATCGAGGAACAATTGAAGCATAGAGACAAATATATTTCCAAGGAAAAAAAGTGCAGTTATTTACTTTAATCCTTATAATATTTTGGCCATAAAAAAAGGAACAAATAAAGTACCTACATTATATACGTAGATGTACATAATTAATTACTTAATTAATACGCTAAAAGTAAAAGAAATCAATAATTTGGTTGCATTACATAAATGTAACAGTGAATGATGCTTCTGTGTAGGTATATGTATATGTATAAGAGTGAATGTCTGAATCAATGATGACATTTGATGAATTACAAAGAAAATGGTAAGTTGAAGAAGAAGAAGAAGAAGAAAATAGTGTAAACAAATGAATAAATAAATATGATGAAGAGTAAATAAGGAAGAGAGAAAATAAGTATTGGATAGTAACAGAGTGAAAAAGAAGTACTCTCTGTTTCCCTCTCTCTCTCTCTCTTTAATTATGGGCAAATTTAGTATACACATAAATACAAACATGAACTTTGATTACATCAGATGTTTTATACATACATATATATATGTATATATAAATGATGAACAATAATTGGTGTCATCGATTGACCAGGAAACTAGGTCACCTAAATTGATTTTTTTTAGCATACTACATGTAGCAGTACAACAATTACAACTTATATACATATACAAAGAAATGATATACTGTTAAGTTCCAATTCAAATATTGGCAAACAATTAATAGATTGAAATCATGAGTCAATTGAAGCTAGACCACCATGGAAAACCTGGAAGCACTGGACGGCCGTTTCGTCCTAGTATGGGACTCTTCAGCAGTGCGCATCCACGACCCCACACCCCGCGAGATTCGAACCCAGGAACTATTAGTCTTGCGCCAGGCGCTTAACCAACTAAACCACTGAGCCGGTGTCCAATGGTATTAATGTCTAACTTTAACCAATCCACGAAGTTGAGCCACCGTACACCATTGTCTTCAGTGAGCTGATATCTCACAACAGACCTAGTTGAACTCCACTGGTAACGGCTTCTCACTAGAACTCCAGGAGTATCTCTTGAAGTCAGTCACTAGTGAGCATACTACATATAGCAGTACAACAATTACAACTTATATACATATATAAAGGAATGATATACTGTTAAGTTCCAATTTAAATATTGGCAAACAATTAATAGGTTGAGAGGAAAGTAATAACAAATTATTGCCTTTATATAACTTATGTAATCATTCTTTTATATATTACCACCATTGAATGAACTACTTCTATGAATTCGGTGTT